TGTATGGCTCAGCTTTGAAAATAATCATTCGAGCGTAGCCTAGAAGCGATCTAAGTCCATGAAAAGCAAACTGCTTGTCTGATTGTCTGCTTTACTGATTGTCTTACTTCACTAATCTTCCAGCAGTAAAGAAACGGATTTAACGTCGAGTTAAAGTAAACTAATACAGTCGTTATTTGCAATATGACGACCAAGTGTGATGAAGACGATGTACTATGAGCGATTGCCATTGCCACCGTAAAGAATGGTGCATAACAAACAATTAATGCTAACTGCACCCACAGTGCGCTGTTCACTGCCTTTCTGTATCGAGCCATGTTTAGTGCAATTGGTTGGCTCGGCTGTTGATGAACATGATCGTGTACTTGAGTCTGATGATACCTGAGAGTGCAAAAAATCTTTGTGTATGAGCCCAGTGAAATAATCATGCAAAGTGGTATAAATAGGAAGGCGCAGAAAGACATTATACGATGATCAATTATGGTAGTTAGGAAAGCCCCGACGAGAGAAAAAACCCAAAAGGCAGCTACAATTCTGTAGGTGCGCTTCAAAGTTACAATTTGTCTGTATCTCAGACCCAACAACAAGGCGAGAAGTCTGTCCACGCTTATGGCCGTCATCGTCAACAGAGACACTCCACATAGTGCATAGCTTATGTAGTTTGCATAGCCTAAGTATAGACAAAGACTCCGGTGTTCGCGAACTACGGACATCCAATAAGTAGCTGTGAGGGGCTGGCAAAAAAGACCAACCAAGAGATCAGTTGTAGCCAAACAACGATACAAGAGTTTGGACGGTCGATGAAGGGAAGATTCCTTGTAAAGAGCAACAAGGATGAGAGAATTTCCAAGAAATGCTGTGATGGAGAGGAATATGTTAACTGCTACGAAAGAAAATATATTTGTTTGAGGCCAACCAACCAAAGGACTTGAGGGAGAACATATCAGTTCCAATGTTTTCGCATGTGATCGACTTCTTATGAAATGTGTAGTCGACATTATTCTATATTCGTTTCCCTTTTCTTGCAGATTATCTATCTCCGGAGATGTCCTATCAAATTCTAGTTGATTATTCCGAGTAGTGACTGCAGCCTAACCACTCGCCAATTATATGTGGGCCGCAATTAGCATATTATCTCGATTAGTAAAGTGAAATTTAAGTTCAAATATTAGTCTTAAAAGTTAATTTTGTTGGCAAACACAAAGGTATCGGCTACATCACTATTTGACAGTACGATAAGGAAACACTTATTTGCCCCTCCTTTATAATAATGAAATAAGCAATTTCATCTCGATATGTTGTTTTTTTAGGGCCAATAATTAAATGCGTTTGTCTTTTTTTTTTTTTTAAGGCGCAAATACTTGTCCGAAAACAATTCCATTGTCTCCATAGCGTGTTCCTGTGCGACACTAAGTTCTTGACAAACTTCTTTAACTTCCCGCCGACACGGATAATCTTCCTCGTCTAAAAGGTGCAGCAGCTTGTTCTTTATCCTGGTAAAAGCCAATTGAGTCTTTGCTTCGTCCTGCTTTATGCTCTCGATAAGTTCCTTATCCTCACTCATATTCTGTAACTCTATGCAAATTTCCGCCTTTACTTACATTCATTTATTTAACACTTATCTCGAAGATCCGCGATGAAAAGCTTGCTCTGCTACCAAAAAAAGGTTCATTCAAGTTCCCTTTATTGTACGAAATACAAGCCGACACCTACATCAACGTGTGGGGGAACATAAACGATCGGTAATCAGTCACCATGTAAGAGAACATGGAATGGAACCATGAGAAATCGCAAAGAACTTTAGGCTCCTGAGGAAATGCTCAAAGAAGTTCGACTGTTTGACTCTCGTCACTTTTTTTATTCGGGAACTTAAAAACCAAAACTGAACTAACAGAGCGATTCTATTCGCGCGAAGCCGTTTGCTTAACACTTCATATAATTAGTTTTCATCCTTTTCACCGCTTATTTACACTTCATTTTTGCACTTTGTTATTAATTATTAGCTCTATTGTTTATATGTAATTACTTAGCTTTTACCTTCATTCCATTGTTTCTGAATCGCATATATGCAGAAATTTACTCATGAACTCTAACTTGAAAATGACCATTGAGTGGTCGAAACGTCGTTCCCATTTGTTATCGCTTGTTTTTATCAATAAATGTTTTAGTAAGAACTTATTTCTTCGTATAATAGTACTTATCGTTATCTGACAAGAAGATGTCAAATAAAATTTGAACCAGGACAATCACACTTTTTGTGAGAAAAGAAAATATGTTATGCTAGCACATATCCTCCATAGTTTCGCTACTAACAGTCACTTTGTACCTGCCAAGCAACGATCACGTACGCCTCACTTTCTTAATAACATTCACAGAGAAACTTCCGCAGTAACGTTCACTCCTTTAAAATGCGAATACATACAAGTTTAGTTGTAACAGGTAATTCTTTGACAAATTGATGATTCCCTCCAAAGATTCCGGATTTTTATTTAGGCACCATGAACGATGAGTATATTTCTTCCCCAGGAAAAATTTTCCTATAAATTACTCCTTGATAATTAGTTAGGCAGGATGTCTATCATCTAAAATTGTCCTTTGTCACAGCTTCATGTTATCCAACTGGTTAAGTTCAGTCCAGAGATAAATCGAATTTGCACTAAGACATTAAAAAAAAAAACAAAACAAAACAAAACAAAAGTTCCGCTATTATTATTTTACAATGTAAAGTAAAAGCCACCGATACTAAGGAAAGCTGTCGTTGATAAGAAAGATGAATATTTTAAGGTGAAACGGTTAATCAGCTGCGTGCAATTGGAAATAATTTGAACGCAGACTGCGTACATGTAAGTGACAATCCTCCCTGCCCCTCCCATCCCACTTAAATTGAAACGGAGACAATTAATTGACAGTAACAAAATACTATGCTGCCAAACCGAATTACTCTCCTTAACATTGTCTTCTTCAGTTATCTTTCATGGTCAATTACCTTTTTCTTCCTTAAAAATTCAGTTATACTCTTCTCTCAAGCTATCAAAAAATCATCCTTCATTATTTATCTAAGGAACAATTTGTATGACTTGCAAATGATATAAATATTATTTTGACTGTTCTTGAGATGAGGTAATAGCTTGGTTGTTTCACGTACTCAAGCTGCCATGTGCACTGAAATGGCACGTGCGTCCATCCAAATATTCTTCCGGTGCTTTACAGGAGGGTCCCTTATACTTTTTACGTAAAGTGTGATTGGCCAGAGCAATCAGTTTCTTTCTAGCTATTCCTGTGATTATTAATTGCTCTACGCATTTTTCTTTTATCAAAATTGCTCAGGATTTCATTTTTTATATATACCTACTGATATAATATTTTTCCATGACTTGTAAATTTCGTTTATTCATAACTATTTATAGTTCAATTCTGTGCGTGTAGCCCTGTGTTGTAGAGTTGCGATGACGATAAAATCACAGGGCCACTGGTTAAAACTGCAACAAAACGTTTTAATGTCCAGTTCAGGTTTGTGTTTTTATGACGACTCGCGTGCCACGGGGAACGACGGTTCACGTGACTCGCTGATCCCGTGACTATAGTCACGCGTATCACGCCACAAGTATATCTTTAGGATGTTCTTACTCCATGGACAACAAAGTGTTTGTCTGATTGTCTGCCTGATTATTTCAATATACAATGTGCTTTTATCAAATATGGTATAAAAGGAGGCCGCAACAAGAGATAAAACCCAAAAGGTAGCCAAAATTATGCATGTGCGCTTAAAAGTTACAGTTTGTCTGTATCTCAGCCCCAACAACAGGGCGAGAAGTCTATCCACGCTTATGGCCGTCATCGTCAGCAAAGACACAAAACACAATGCTAGGATTGTTGTGTTGACTGCCGTATATGCGTATTCACAAAGACCCCAGTGTTCGTGAACCAAGTATATAAAAAAAGTAGCAGTTAGAGGCTGGCAAACAAGACCAACCAACAGATCAGTTGTTGCCAGACTACGATACAATAGTTTGGACGGTCGATGAAGGGAGGACTCCTTGTGAAGGGCAACAAGGAGGACAGAATTTCCAAGAAACGCTGTGACGGAGAGGAGATTGTTAACTGCTGCGAAAGAAACTATTCTTGGCTGAGGCCAGCCCGCCAAAGGGCTCGAAGGGGAGCATATCAGTTCCAATGTTTTCGTCTGTGTTCCACCTCTTGTGAAATTTGTGGTCGACATTATTCTGTATTGGACTCCTTTTTACTTGCAGGTGATCTGTGATTGCAACGAGAAATATTTCGTCGAAACGGCACATACCCAGTCACGATTGCTGAAACCGGACTTCCTTAACACTTATCACAAAAAGACTTCCTAGTGACCTTTTCCTCATTCAGCAGGGCGTCAGAAAATTAATATCTGTGAGCTTGTCAGGTGCCTAATGTATGAAATAGAAATAAGAGGTAGATGTAAAGAAATTTTCTACTTTTTTTTTCAGTGCGATAAAAAAGTACCTCGAAGATCAACTTCAGTTGATAGGGTGCTAATCAAATGTTCATACCATTTGTTTGAAGCTCAGACACTATTTATTATCAGCCTTAAGAAGTTGAAAATAAACAAAAGGTTTTCAGCTCTATGATATATCCCCTTGCATCATTCATTAATGGAGGGGAGGTCAATCATTGG